CAGCGGGAGGGCTCCAGGGAGGTGCGAGCAGCGGGAAGGCTCGCGGGAGGCGTGAGCAGCGGGAGGGCTCGCAGGAGGCGCGAGCAGCGAGAGGGCTCGCGAGAGGCGCGAGCAGCGGGAAGGCTCGCGGGAGGCGCGAACAGCGACAGCGGCGAGCGACGAGATCGCGATCGGGATCGGGATCGGGATCGGGATCGAGAGCGACAGCGGCAGCAGGTTAGTGTTGGGTTAGGGTTAGGGTTGGGGTTATATCGGTTTAGTTGGTTCGATTGAACCAACTAACAACCGAACCAGGACCGAACCAGACCTAAAATTCTGGTTCGGTCGCCTTGGTTTACCCAGGCGCTCGCCCGAAGCGCCCAGCGCCTGGGCTCGGGCGAGCGCCCAGGCGGCGCCTGTTTGAAGCGCGCCGCCTGGGACATTAGCGAGGCGCTCGGGCCTCGCCTCGCCTCGCCCGAGTGCCTAGGCGAGCGCCCGAGCGCCTTTTGCAATCACTGATTCTAATATTAAGTGTTCTGTAAACAAATTTGTACTTTTTAACATATATTACACAACAAAAATGAAAAGCTACAACCTAAACAGAATTGTTAGAAAAAAAGGACAGATCTGGTGCACAAGACCCTCTCCGATACTAAGTGTGGGAAACATTGATGTCCGCGATCTTATCGCTACAAGCAGAAAAGATGTTTCCACAACTTGCTAGTCACCCAAGTTAGAACGGAACACAACTTTACCATTGGCATCAAGATTGTTTCAATATCTCTCTTGTTTACACCACGAGATACCCCAAAGGTCTGGTGAAGCAGTAAGGTCATAAAATAGCACTAACGAGGGAAGCAGAGACCACGGATGATCTGCAAAGATTATTTGGCACAAATCCAGTAGAAACTCTGATGTTTTCCAACTAGCAGTATAGAATAATAAGAAAACAGATGAAAAGAGGATGAAAATAAATTGCTTGCACCACGTGGATTTCGTCCCCACCCAACACTTCTAATTGGGTACGTACGGATTCCTAATCCTAAAGGAATAGACCATTAATTTCTGCAAGGATTCCTGGGCAAATTATCAGCTAGTTCGGGGAGAAGAATATTATAAATGACCAAACGTTGATCAAAGATATCATGATGTGGGATTAGGAAACACATAACTTTGGTTTCCTATTGCTCCATAAAGTCTCCTAGCCCGGCAATTGTTATCTTATCACGCAAAAGAACTACAAGTACAAATGTACTTCATTCTTCCTGAATCTTCATATTCATCTCCTTACGCATCTTCCTGAATTTCTTTGGTTTGTTTAGGATTTGATTGGATGAACAACCAAGGGTGGTGACAAAATTAGGTTCAGGTCTAGTTTAAGTAGGATGAGATTTGGACATACTGCATAACTGCTAGACCCAAGACATCAAAGCTTGTCTGAAACCTAATCTGATTCTTTCTTTGGACAATTCAAGCCATCCCCGATCGACCTAAATTCTTGCTGGACATACAAACATACAAAACTAGTCTATACATTCATATGTAAAATTTGACATACAAGAGACCGGTAACATGTGTTCGTTTCTTCATCTGTTCTTCTACATTAAGCAATATTCTCAATTTATTCGGTTGGTCAAAAGACAAATCCATCACGCACTTTTGTTGTCACAGAATACGCTGCTAGCCCTATTTATACAGGACAAATGGATACAGCAGCAAGACATTTCCTGGATCTGGACCCTAGAAATCGTCCATCTTGGTTCATTTCAACCACAGGAATCTCGTTTTCCTGTTTTACATGGTATGCGACAAGCACTCATCCAACAACTTCAGTTTACATCATCAATCAACCACATAAACCTCAAATATCACACTGAAATCCAAACCAAACGAGCCCTAATTCATCCCTACTGGGTCTCACAGTTGGCAATAATAGAATAGCACTACCGATTACCAATCCCTCGGCTTACGGCTTGGATTGCACACGGCAAAGCTTTGAAGACGATGCTCGAGCAATTTATAGAGATGGGGCACCACGGACTGCAGTCAAAAGGGGAGAATAGAGTGAAATCCATCATGCATTCTACTCTCATCAAATATAGTCTAGTGTTCGGGACCGGCCTTCACGTCTTCTATTCCATCGGCCATCTCTAGGATTCGGAAGATTCGCGTTGAAGAACAAAAAAGAGAGGAATTCTAGGGTTATCACTCATCACCGCCATGGAAAAAGCAGTCATAATCATCGGATCGAGAATCATAGTAGTAGTGGTAGTAAACAGGACTCTTGAGCAAAGATCTGAGACCCGCATTCCCCGAGTCCCAATAAAAAACCACCCCAAGGGGGTCAATATGCAACGACCAAGCCGACCGAAGCCATCAAGAAATCGAGCGCGCAGGGAAATAGAGAGGGAGTTACCTCCGGGCGAACTCTCGCTGGGGAGGAAGCAAGAGGGACTCGAGAGAGCGGAGGCGGCGAGACGAGAGCTGGGTCTTCCTTGAGGCCAGCGAGGGAGACGCCGCCGGATCGAACGGCACTTCGCCAAGGGAATGTATTCGTCCGCACACACCACGTTCCGCCCCAAAAGTTTCGTCGACGTCGTCACCTCCTCTCACGAACTCCATCCATCTCCGCCTCATCCGTGGCCCCCACACAAGCAGACTCGTGATGTGGTGGGTCTTGTCACCGACGAAACGTGTCAACTGAAGACTGGCCCTTCAGTGGGCCGAAGCCTGCTTAGGTTGTTGGCCCAATTAAGCATAGTTGAGACCACATCCAATCATGGACGGGTTCTGTAAAGCCTGATGACATGATACAATGAAATCAATTTACAGTGCTCAAATTCAGCATGATATCAGAATTTAGGGTTTCATCAAAATCTAAAAAGGGAATTCTGATTTTGTTTAAGCTTATCAAAGACTCAACCAAAGCCGAAATGAGAATTATACTATGGTTTGGAAGAAAAAAAAACCCTATGAGAATTATCAATCGATAGAGAATATATTTGGTAAAACTCATCCTGCTAATGCAACCAGACAGAGGAAGAGATACATTTCAATACCTTTCTATGCTTGCAGAGGGTCAGTGTTTCTCTAATATCTTTTATATTTCATCACTCTCAGCTAGACATTGTTGTATCTATAAGCTTATCAAGTCAGATAGTTGGAGACTGAGCTTTGAGCTTGCCTGATCATGGCTTCTACTTTAGAATTGACATACCACTGAACCTATAGACCAAGAACTAGTTCTAGCCAGTTTTTTTTTTTGGGACCAGCTCAGAATTAAAAACACTGAATGCTGATATGTGTAGTTTATATATGATAAACATAATTTCTGGCTCACAAAGTCTGCTGGTAGAAAGATAATATTATTCTTTGTTTGCTAGTACTTTTTATCAATATACAGGAGGTCAGTCTACAGGATAAGCATTGAATCATTCTGACATTAGTATCCCTTTATTTTATTTTTGGTATAGAAAAATATGTATGCATATCATTTTCCTAAGATCATGACTTTATTATTATTATTATTTTGTTCTTGCTTCCTTCTTTCTAAGACATATCAGAACCGTGCATGGGTTTGATTTCTTCCTTTCCTGAGAACTGGTGTCTTCCAAGATCATTGCTAAAAAGGTGTGATATATATATATATATTAGGTTAATTAGTATTCATATGTAAGATCAACAATTTTGGAAAAAAGAATTGCTCTTACATGACTTTGAACTTCAAATGCTGGGAGGAGAAGAGTACACATCTTTCTAAAATAATTGCAAATCATTTTATTTTGACTTCTTGGGTGATTCATCAAATCAAATATCACATAGGATTCAACAACCAGACTTGTTCTATCTGTATCTTCCTTGTGAAACTGATGTGCTTCCACCAAACCTGAAAGTTCAGTGACAGATGACCTAATGCAGAACTTTTTCCTGGCTGCTTACTTGCTCTTGGCTTCTTGTTGCTGTCCTTTGAGAGTAGAAGTGTTTCGCACGTGCAAGCAATTCCAGAGTTGCTTGTTACACTCCATTACCATTGTTGATGGTGATCCACCTCTGCTTGATGAGCAGTTCAACAAAGATTCTCTTGCCTGGAATTAGTTGAGAGGAACACATAAAAACATACTAATCAGATTAAATAGTTTTTTTAAATCTTTTTTATAATTATTAATCAATAAAATGAAAGTTTATTTATGATCAAATTCTTTAAAAGATGATCTTGATGGGAGGAACTCTTTCTCGTCTATAAATAGATAAAAATTTATAAATCTTTAAAAAAATAGAAAGAGATACGAAGATGAATTTAATTCTTCTTCTAAATCAATATTATATCGGGGAAGACGAATCTAATTTTTTTTCTAGATCGATATCACTGACATTACACTCTAGATTATACAAATCTAAACTTTAATTTATGATTATCATAATTTTAATATTTATACTGTACATACTGAAATATATTAAAAAAGAAGTAAGTCAGATCACAGCTTTAGTATTGGTGAAGTTTACCAGAATAGTCTGACATTATAAAATAAAAAAAAAAACTTATAAAATAAGCTTTTACATCGGTCTGATAATGCAATATTATCTATGATGCACATATAATTAATTAGCCACATATGTATTTATTCATTAATCAAATTATTAACAAAAGAGTCACGATTTTATGCAAGTGCGATGGATTCTAAATGTACATGATTCTTCTTGCACGTAAAGAGGGAAGAAAAGAAGAAACATAGGGTGAAGGAAGGCTTCATGGAGATCCAGCTTCTACTTTGCAGGAATCGAGGAATCCATCCTTGCTTCCCCAGCCAAGCTTACTAGGGATCGATAGGTAATCCACAGTTGTGACAGTACACTTGTTGTGCTTCGTCGTCTACCTTCTCGGGTAGCCTTGTGCGCTAATGGATCTCTCTCCATCCAAATTCTCCAAGTCCTGGATGTCCAGCAGCCACTCGGAGCTTCCTTCTTCCTCCCACGGCATTCGTCCGGCAATGACGCTGCCGTAGTTGTTGCCATCGTCGTCACTCGAGAGCTGCCACAGTTCATCCAAAAGCACCGGCGCGCTGTCTTCCCACAGGCAGCTCATCAAAGGGTCCGTGCCGCCATCGATGGAGCTTGCTTCCGCTGGGCTCCTGTTGTCCGAGGACGGTATTTGGCCTTCGTTTCCTTGTGACTGTAACTGGTCGTCGGACTTGTCCGTGGTCACGGTGGACGGCGAGGCCTCGGGGCTCGCCTGCCGATGGAGCGGACGATGAGTGACGGGATCGATGCCCATCTTGAGAAGCTTCTTCTTGATGTGAGTGTTCCATAGGTTCTTGATCTCGTTGTCTGTTCTTCCCGGTAACATTGCAGCGATCTTAGACCACCTGAATAAGAGAAATGACAACATCATAAAACATCTCTCCCTTCCGATGAACTTCTTGTTTTCAATTTGATCCCACTACGTGAGATTTCAGAATTAATGTACATGAGAAAGTATATTCTCTAGTATCAGAATTAGTCAATCTGAATAATATGGACACAGGTATCATAGATTCTTTCATCGACACAATAGATTCGTTGTTCGAGCATTTCCAATCCATGTTTCCTATCTGATTAAGCAGGGCAACTACGCGTGCTGTGTGTCTTGCTTGTTCCATGCAATCAACTACGACGACTTCAGACCACTTGTGAAGAAGAGGAGAGAGAGTACCTGTTCCCCAAGCGGGCATGGAAGTCGATGACCAGCCGCTCCTCCTCCTCGCTGAGCAGCCCCCTCTTAAGGTCCGGCCGCAGGTAGTTCGTCCACCGGAGCCGGCAGCTCTTGCCGCACCGCAGCAGCCCCGCGAGTTTGGGGACCGCGCGCCAGCAGCAATGGCCGTTGGCGAGGATGAAGTTGATGAGCTTGTTGTCCTCCTCCGCCGACCACGGCCCCTTCTTCACTCCGAGCTTGTCGCAGCACGGCCGCCGCCCCATTCCCTCGTCAAAAGCTCCGGAACTACCCTCCCCCATCCACCACACATCTTGCATTTAAAGCGCCTGCCACCTTCCTCTCCCTGCATACAAGCCATCCCCATTGAAAGCAGCTCGGCAACTGCAACAATCTGACCGGTGTTGCCTCTGCTCTGGTGTGACAGTGACGGCTGCCGATATGCTAACCTGAAGGACTTCGAAGCCTCAAACTCCTCCATTCTACAGGAGAAGCTCTCGATCGCGATCTTACTTCAACATTTCATCACCAATGTCGTCATCCCCCACGTAGTGAAAGGAGGGATCTCACCTAATGCCTCATAAGAACATGCGTAAGCATTGCGTCGAGGCTACCACGCACCACAGATCAGCGAACAAGCATGTTGAGTAGCACATCAGATACAATGTCATGGAACTCAGGAAATATATATTGGTTGATCCTACATAATGTGGGTTTCCAGATTTCTGATTCTAAAATGCACGATGGCTCTCTGGAAGACTCTAAAGGTCTGAATTCCCTAATTTCTTACATCTCTCTCAGTGAAGAGACTGCTTAGCTTTAATTGGGTCTTATAATTGGAGTTTCACTCTCCATAATTCCCACAAAAATATGAGAAGATAGAAAAGGACTGTCTAATGCATGAGCATCCATAAATACAGAACCTGAAAAGGGTCAATGTACACAATTTTCACAAAGAATGATAGTTTCTTGATTTGACTCTATGCAATTCTTACTTAAGCAGGTGCCAAATCTCACTAAGATCTAAGAATCCATGTACTCCATAGAAACCTTGACAAAATTTCTTCATTCTTCCTCCAGACCTTATTTCCTAAGATTTTACAAGAAATCTAGTGCTGATCTTTCAAAGTTTCCAAATCTAGATTGATGTATAAACTACAGGAGATCATACAGTCCTTGACTTTTTTTTTTTAATATGAGAATAATTAACATCATTTCTTTTAAGCTTTATGTCCTTTGGGATGTGATTTCAAAAGAGAAATTTTTGTTGCCTTTAAAACTTTCATTTGGAGGTTTATTGAGGTTTCGGGAGATGAATGATTACATAAATGAAAGATAACTGGAAGAGGATAAAAATGTAGATCCATTTGGAATTATATCATTCTCCCACATGAATATAAAATGATGGATGTACAAGTAATTTCAAGTAAATATGAATAGATGGAAGGATTAGTACACACTAAACTAAGGATTAAAAAACAAACAACAAATATGAGTGATTTTTATACAAATAACAAAAAGGACCAATACATGGAAAGATCTATGTTCAAGAACACACCTAAAATGCATCATTTTCATGGAAGAAATATACCCGATGTCAGTGACTTCAAAAAATAACACAGAGGAACCTCAAATATCAGAAGATTAAGCTGTTAAAATAAAAGATGCATAGCATTGTGGTATCTTAGTAGGTAGGATTGAATGACTTGTGGAGCTGCAGATCATACTCTCCAAGAAGGCATTCTGAATGAAGCATAAGATAGATGCATGTGCCCAACCTCACCAACCATCACCTCAGATGGTTGCCGGTGCTTCGAGGGCACAAATTGCAACATTGAATGTGAAATTTTGTTTATCAATCAAGATCGAGTCAATTTCCACATGAAACTAGTCTAATGCATGCAATTATAGAATGAAGAACAAAACATATTGATATTATTCTTTCTCCCCAAAAAAGAAGACGATAATTCCAAGATATGCAGACAAGTATAATTCATCATCTCCAGCTATGCTGCCGAGCACAGAAGTTTGTGGTGTCATTACATGTACATTCCTTAGAGGGAAAGCAATAACACTAAGCACTACCATTCTGATTTTACATAAGGCAGTTATTTCTAACCCGTAAAGTTTTGTTATGGCATCAGATTGCTTAGATGCAGGCACCAAATGTATGTACAAGACTGTGCAATTAGAGATGACAAGGGGATAACCTGACTGCAAAATGAGGGCAAGTTAAATATGCTGGCATATGTCATATTATTGATCAAGATACTAACTAGATTCTATTACCACCATATTCCTCACTTAATATAGTGGAGTGTGAATTGGTTCACAGCAAAAAAAATATAAGCTAAAGGGACAGTAGAGCTTACTTGGTGACAATCCTTGGTCATGCAATCGGATGCATAACTTAACCAGCTAGAATGATTAATCAGTTTCGATCATGCTTTGGATAGGCATCAATTAATCTAAAAGAACAATGACAGCAAGGTGGACTATGAGTCCATGATGTAATTCTAATCTTATGAATCAGATTGTTTTCCTCTTCTAACATGTCCAATAAACTCAAATCAAGACGTACAATGCATCAGTCCTGAGTATGTTATATGACTCATCAATCAACCATATGTGATGCATAATAAAGATTTGATCTGTGAAATCCATCTGAGCAGTAATTTTCTTGGAGGAAGCCTTCTTTTTTACGCTATAAAACTTTGGCAACTAAGAAAACAGTACTCGTGAACAGACAACTATTACTGCTACTAACAGATAAGATTCAAATCGTATCAGAACACTTCACGAATAGACAATAACTACTTCTACTACTACTGATTTCTAAAGCAGGAATTTACCTAATTAATCCAACCCATTTAAGCCATTAGGAGAACAAATCATTCACAAACACTGATCAATACAAATGCCCCCACAAATCTGCTGTGACAAGAGGGGGGATTGAAAATTAAATACCTCAATAAGCAATCTTGATATCAATTAAACCGATAAATACATCAAAGAATTCGAATTTTATCGAAGGAAAAGAACCAACCGAACCATAATTTGGGCGCGCTACCGACAGCATCAACTGCGCCTCAAGAAAGCCGACACCATAATGCAGAAGAAGACGGCAGGGTTCCGCATCGGTTTGCGAACCGGGAGGCTAGCGATGCCCCGCCGTGGGATTATGGAACCCCTGCGCTCCCCATCGGATTCCCGCACCGCGTCCACACCGTTCTTCTACTCTCGATTCAAATTGGGGACAGAAGCGGGTCGGGTTTTTTGAGCATACCCGTTTACCCGATCCGCTTGTCATATGAAAGTATCCATCGAATCGGGTCGAACACGCTCGACCGCTTGAGGCTGTCGAAAGCCGAGTCATGCTGGCCTTCGATCACGGACGCAGCCTTCTTCGTCCGGGACCAAAAGGGTGCAGGTTTAGCCGGATTTGGTGGATCACCTCCTGCAAGGGAAGGCAGGAGCCGTACTCTGCTGTTCCCTGCCTTTTTCTCTTCCTCTCTTCGTTAACCAGCAAGGAATCCCATGGTCCTTACGACCCGGAGAAGATCCAGTTTGCGGATAAACTTGTCATTGCTGAACTTATGAAGCTCTTAGAACTCGAGCACATGTACCAGCATAACAATCCCAGAGCAACAATTTCATCACCCCATGATTCATGTTTAGTTGCAGAGATCCAACAGCAAGAGAGCTTGATAAAGACGTACGAAGTCATGGTGAAGAAGTTTCAGTCCCAGATTCAGAGTAGGGAAGGTGAGATTCGGCATTGGCAGAGAAGAAGCTGAAGCTTGAGAAGAAACTGAAGCGGCGAGGCATGCTGTCAAAAGATCGACATGTCTCGGAACTCTGCTTCTTCTCAACCGAATCAAGCCCAGATGTTTTCTCTTCTGCAGCATGCTTAGCTACTGATTTGCATGCTGCAAGCGGCAAGGTGGGATTTGGATGCAGCAGCAAACTCAGTTGAACCTGCAGTTGTGTATGGAAGATGGTCTCATAAGAAGTATGCATTCGAGTCATACATATGCCAAAAAGTTTTCAGTCGGTTTTAAATAGAATGCTTGTGTGTCAAAATTGAAGATTGTGTGTTCTCTACTGAGGTCTTCTTCGATCAGTTTCTGGCTGGTAGAGCGATGGATCCATTGGACTTGGTGAGCCAAAACCCTGATTCACATTTCAGACAATCTAGTAGGAGCAAGTACTGGTTGATCATTCATCCGGAGGTGGAAGGTTGTGTCTTTGGGAATTTGGTTGTGGTGAGTGGTGAGCACCAAAGAACACACTTCTACCAGGCTTTCCTGAGGCTGGCCAAGATCCATCTGGCTGCTGCAGAGGCTTGCACACTCTTTCCATCCTGCAGCTGAAGTTTTCCAGGTGATCAAAGGCACTGAATTCACAGATGATTGTATGGAAAGTGTGGTGAAAAATGCAGCCATAGATGCATCAGACCAAAACCCTGAGGTGTGGGGCTCATGGTTATGCCAGGTTTTGTGATTGGGGACAATGTGAAGTATCCTGAATGAGCTCAGTCCATGATTTGATGTGTAGGAAGACTAGTGATGATGCTGCTGGTTGTTCTGGAAACCATTGTGTCATGTTGCTGAAGAATTCAATCTATCTGTAAATCCAAATGAAGCCATCAATTTAAAAGTTTTTCCTTGTGTCTGATGTCTATGTGAAAACACATGGGTCAAACCTCCAAAAATAAATGTTTAAGAAGTTTACATTTGATAATGAATGGCAACTTGATTAGTGTTGAATTGGATCTCTCAAAACAGAGAATATGGCAATATTTATTAGTATATTTTCATCTTCCAAGCATGATATCTAAATATAATGATTTCCATGTTAGTGTTTATTAGTATTTGCATCAAGATATTAATCAACATTTTATTTATATATTCAATATTAAATAAGTTTCATGATGATATTATAACAAAAAATAAACACTAACCTAACATGACAACATAAAATGGTGTTTCTAAGTTGAACTTGGTTATCATGCTCCAACCTAAATTTTGTTTCTGATTTGCTACTTCAAATTTGATTGTTTAGTCTGCCATCTAAAATGCATGTTCTGATTTTTGTTGTCTTGCAGTTATCTAAAATAAAGCATGGAGCAATTGAATTGGATTGACAAACCTTAGCACATCAGTAGTCACATCCTTCCAAATGCTGTGATCAAAAGATTGGCTTTAGAAGCAGTGATGAATCTGATTGCAGTTAATCTTTAGAACATGAAGTTGGCAAAAAGAAAATGTTAGAGTTGGATGTGATCATAATATACATCAAATCTATCTCCTCTCAAACACTTTCAATTGCAAGTGTATTGCAATTTTATTGGGTCAAGCAATCCACAGTGATTTATTTACTGTTAACTGAGCTGAATAATTTGCTGGCCTGAAGCAAAAAGCTGTGAAGGACAGAAAGTAAAGTTTTAGCCACCCCATCAAAGCATCAACCTGTGATTTTGGTCCACCCACCAACTCCTTTCCTCTGACCTGCCTTCTGTGGACCAATCTGTATTATTACCTAGTTTAATCTGCCACCTTCGATGGTACCATTGCCCTCAATTCTCGGGAAAAAGAGTCCAGCTGAAGCTTGCACTCATTTCCCATCACTACAGCATCGAGAAGTGCCCCCTCCACAAAGAGACCCCATTTCAGCTCAGCACCAACACTGTGCCTCTTCATCCCACAGACTCCTGTCCCAGAAGAAACAAAGCCACCAAGGCCAGCAGAGCTTAACAAGGTTCTCTTCCCAGGTATATTTGCTCAGGAAACTGATCTTATGTGAGGTTTTCAGCTGTGGTTGTGGTGTGGGTTGCTGGTGTTCTCAATGTGGAAGAACTGCTCCTGCAATTTCTACATTTTTTGTCTCATAGTTCTTGTTGCAGTTGTCTGGGCTGAAAATAAAGGTAAGATCTACTTCTTCCTTTTTGTTTTTCTCTCTTTGTATTCATTAATATACATCTATCTGTCTTATATTGTGCTTTGCGGCATTCATATAAAGGAGCCTCCAGCTATGTTGTCATTCACATTGTAGATGCCTTATGCATAAAATGGGATGAGTAGATTCTTGGAAATGTATGTAGTTACATTCCACTGGCATTCCAAGTGACCAAATTCGTAGTTTGTTGTTTGATTGCTCACGATGAAAAATTTGCAGCAAATCTTCTGTCCCTTTCCATCTGTTGTAGGAAGAGTTTTGTGGTTGGGGAAAGCATATATAAAATGGAACTAAATGCAACTCTTCATGTTTCTCCTAATCATAAGGGGAAAAAAGATCTTCATGATTCTCGTAACCTGCAACATTTACCCACCTGTTCTGTGATTTCAGAGCAACTGATCACATATCCTTCATTATTCTCCATCCTTTTCTTTTCTGTTTGTGTGTGTGTGTGTGTGTGTGAGAAAGAGAGAGAGAGAGAGAGAGAAGAAGTATTGTCCATCTTTGGTTTGCAGAATTCTTGATATTCCTGTGCTGTGAATTATTTTTAACAGTGAGTTGATTCATGTTAATGCGATGGAATCCCATTTAAAATCGAGGGGCAGCCACGATATGGTGCCCATTTCCTTTCGGGAGAAGTAAATATTGGGTTACTAACACCTTCACTTTTATCTCCTACAAGGAAAATCTACATTTTGCTCCATGTCTGGACAAATCATTTTGATATCAAGATGAAGAAACCATTGGTGATGTGCAAAAACAAAGAGATACATGGTCAGTTTACTGATTGTTGTGTATCAAGATGTAGGGAAGCCAACAAAACAGCAGTGTTACTTCACTGAAGTATTTCTTTCAATCTGTTGTGTTTCAGAATTTACTTCGATGTATTTCATGATTTACTTGACAAATGTGGAATCATAAATTCACTCGTGTGTTTCAGTTGTCCCTCACGATGTTCAGAACTGATTGGAGATAATTTAGAATCCAGGAGGCCGGGATTTCATTCAACAGATTTCCTTGTTTCTTCCCCTCTCCACCTTTTCTGCACAGTGATCATATGAGCAATCATATTAGACCATGATGTGACAAACACACAAGTCAAATTTTCCTAAAAGCTCAACCATGATATAGACCAACCACACTGTGTGCATCAGCATTTCATGTTCTTTGATATTTGATTTATCTTATCGGTTAACACCCTGAATTTCTGCGGCTGCTTGTACTCTTTTTTAGGTAGTAACTAAAGTTATTTCCCTTTGGAAATCTCTCTATATAATCTCTTCAGGCATTCTATTTCTTCTTGTTTTATTTTCCTTTCTGAAAAATTTGCTCTCGATATTCTTTTGTTTTCTGCTGATTCGAGGAAGAATGTACAGGATGCATGTAAATGCTGTGTCTTCACAAGTAACATAGATCAGAATAAAGTTTCATGCTGTGCTAAAATCAAATTATGCTCGGTTTTCAATCACAGAATTATTGAATTTCTTGTATACTCTGATACCATATTCACCTAATGCGATGTGATTCCAGGAAATCCTGCAAATGAGATTGTCGACTTCGTAAACAAGAATCGAACAGCAACCAAGTTACCGAAACTCTACAACAGTCCAGGACTGGGATGCATGGCCTTGCAATTCTTGCTGGAATGCACTCAAAACTGCACTAGCAACAATACGCTTGCCTGCCAGCCTGCAGAAATTGACATCACCGAGGTCTATGCTCCCAACTGTGGGGTAGAGCTACCTACCATCGACACTATATCTGGCCAGCTTGTTGGATGCTACTGGAGCCATCTAAATCCAGAACAAGCCTTCTCCACAGTTCTTGTCCCAACCAAGAAATCACTCTCTGTTATTCACAGCAAAGAACATCATGAGGTTGGAGTAGGATATGTCAGAGGACACCATGGGCCATTTCTATGGTGCATCTTGTTCAGCAGCGGGAACGCCACCAGCTCCACATTTGTTCTTGAAGGTGGAACAGGAATCAAGCAAAGAAGAGGTTGCTTCAGTGGAGGAGATGTGCCATGTAATGTCGGCACCAGCCTTTTGCCGGCACACAACACATTACTTTCCTCCATATGCTGCTTACTTGTGCAACTAGTTTTAGTGTTTGGTTGAGTTTCTTGGCAGCTACTTTTTGAGAGGCAACTCCATGAATTCCCAGGCAGATCTTGGCTGTCTATTTATCTTCTTCTGTACTATCCTTGTGCTAAATTGCAATGAGGAAACACAGGTTGAACACTGAGGTGGGCAATTTTCTTTCCAAAAATCATCTGCTTAAGGTGATGAGTTGTGGAATTTTACATCTTCTGATGCTTCTAATTTTCATCCATATTTTCTTACTTGTGGACTGTTATGCTTTATATGGTTGCTGTGTTCCTTCAATGGTTTACAAAGTTAAATTCACTCATCCAAACTAGTTTGCTGATTTCCTTGTGATTTATTCTTATACAAAGGGTGCTTTGTACACATAGCCTTCGATAAGCTTATCTCATATTTTGGTATTTTCCAATCGAAATCTCTCATTTTACATTTTTTTTTCAAACAGTGTCTCTAATTTAAAAATATCCAAAATATCTCTAAAAATTTTTTCCATCAAATTTTGAAATTTTTTTTTATCAGTTTGAAAATATTGCAATGATTTCATTTAACTCATTTATAGTGTTTTTCAATGATGTTTATAGTATTTTTATTGAGGTATTAAAAAACTATAAATATTATTGAAAAACATTGTAATTGATATCATATTATATCACTTTGGTTGTCATTGTTCATATACCATTATGCATGTTGTTGATTCAATTAAGGTTTAGAGTCTATTTGGATCATTTATGATGTTTCTGAGCATGTTTTACAATATTTTTATTGTGATAATCAAAATATTATAATAATTTAATTTTTAATTTCGATTTAGGTGATGTTGTTTCTAAACTATTATAAATACATATTTGAATTATAATATAATATATCAAAATGATTTCTAGTGTGTTTTGATTTTATTTGACTTATTTATGGTGTTTTCAAGTAGATTTTATAATATTTTTGTTTGTGGTGACTAAAATACTATAACAAGCCAAAACACTGTAATAATAAAAAAAAAATTGAGGGACACTTTGTTTTTTTTTTTTTTTTCAAATTAGAGGCATTATTTAAAAAAAAAAGCAAAAAAGAGAGTACCAATTGAAAAATACAAAAAATATGAGGATTTTCTATGAAAATTACATATATATATATATATATATATTTGATGGTAATAAAAATTTCTTTTAATTTTTTAAAATTATATTTTAATTTGGGTGAAAGTAGCACACGTGTGAATTTGGATCATTAATATTCGATTTAAGAGGGCAACCAAATGCGGATTAAATATAAATATATGAAAGAAAAATCTTCGAATCAAATGAAATTTGTGGATGAGTAATTCGAATTTGCTTAGCTTTTAATTTTTATATCACATATTAAAATTAGATGATGAAAATGATGACGACGATGGGCTGAGAAACATGACATGTGGGATGGGCTTTGCTTAGTTTGGTCCGGCCCAGTATATTCTTTACTAATACGAAACCCTAAAATAAGACACGGTGGAGGTCCGATCGACGAGGGGCAGAAGAGGAGGCGAGAAGATGATCTACCGGCCGTGGTCTTTGCTGTCGTCCACAGTGGTGGTATGTGGAGGCGTCGGCACCGCCGGCCTCGCCGGGATCTTTCTCTTCGGCGTCAAGGTGTGTTCTGATCATTTTCTTGCTCCCCTTTTAGCCGCCTATAATATGTTCTTTTCCCTGTTCTTTTCATTGAAGTTTGTGTTATGATTTGGACACCTAATGAATCCGATCCATGAAGATAGTTTTTCGGTCCCCCTTTGTATATTATTGGGCGATCGATGTCTTCTCACGAACTATTGTAATGTGTTGCTATCACGTTGTGCCATAGATTCTTCTTTCAATTAATTCCTGTAGCGTCGACAACAAGAGAGCGCTTTGGGGGGATCTAATGAGATTGTTGTTGATCTTTTAAGATTTTTGTTAAGCTAATCATGTGGAAATGTTGGATTGGCGTGTAAAATACCTTGTTGGTGTGATCACAAGATCCCCTTTATATTCTTATGATTTTGGGTCCTTGTGGTTCATTTGGAGACTCAAAATGGGAGAGTGGGTTGGGGAAGGGGAGCTCAATCTGTCTTCTTGTGGCAACAACAACCTCATTGGTATGTTCATTCACTGAGCATATAGAAGAAACAAAGAGATGGATTGACCTTCGCCAACTCTTTCTTCTTCTTTACCATTCCCATGCCTTGTTGCAGTCGATATGTCTCATGTGGTTTCAAATTCTTTGGACATAAGTTTAGGTTACAGGGAACGGGAATAATTCTCTTCCAGGATCTTCAGTCATGCAAATCCCTTGTGTTTAGCTAATTAGTGGACTTACAAAGTATACCGATCTTCTTGTTTGGAGAGTTATCATCATGCTGTCGTGCCATGGGTTCGAGTCACAGAAACAATCTTTTTGCTTACAAGGGCAAGGCCGCGTACATCGGTCCTCCCTGTTAATGAGAGCTGAACTGGACCGGCTTATACGATGTCCGGCCAATTGAATGGACACTTTTGGTCAATCCGTGATGTCTCATTACTGATGAACCTTAGCATCTTCTGGCTGACGAATTAACAACATATTTTTAGGTTTTTGTATGTGCATGTCTAGGTAATCTTTTGATTCATAGATTTTCTTTATCGCAACAGATCCTTCTCAACTAGTTTTAATTTCGAATGAGGTTGTGAATGAGGTGATCTTGTCATGGAACTTGCAGGAGAAGTTACAAGAATACCTGTGCCGTGAGGGCGAGAGGCTCCGACAGCTGGATAGAGCCACGATGGAAGCAAACAGAGCCAGAACAAGTTGAGAAGAGATACAAAGCTACGGTGTTCACCATACCAATGGTGGTTTCCCTTTTTCTCCAGCTGTGTGAATTTTCAAGCTCAATAAATGTTGCTGCAAACTTCTGTTGGAACTTGGTTTCCACCAGTGGAGAACAAGCCCCACTCTTAGTTGTTATAATCTGAAGTTTCAGATGCTTTGATCTGTTGTGATAATTGGCACCTGATACTTTAGCCACTCTTTGTTGATCTTCTGTTCATATGGAAGACACCATCATTTGTACCGTATGGATGATGCTTTATCAGGAGAAAGGTTGCAATGAATCAAAAAGGAACCCAAGTGTTTTTGTGAGGAAAACAACACTGAAGAAATGTATGTGACACACATTGTGCTCACTATTATTTAACCAAATTCACCCTAGAAAACTAAACTTTTTTCCTGGTGCAGTTCCTGTTAATTTGCTCTTTATGCAGTCCAGTAGGATGATGTAGTCTTCTTTAGGAGATCTGAGTTGCAGTAGCAATTGTCAGAAACATTGTGCTCACTATTATTTAACCAAATTCACCCAGAAAACTAAACTTTTTTTCCTGGTGTAGTTACTGTTAATTTGCTCTTTATGCAGTCCAGTAGGATGATGTAGTCTTCTTTAGGAGATCTGAGTTGCAGTAGCAATTGCCAGAAACATTGTGCTCACTATTCTTTAACCAAATTCACCCCATAAAACTAAACTTTTTTCCCGGTTCAGTTCCTGTTAATTTGCTCTTTGTGCAGTCCTGTAGGATGATGTAGTCTTCTTTTTTGGAGATCTGAGTTGCAGTAGCAATTGCCACAATGACAAGCTTTAAACTAGTGGATTTTATATGCTGCAGATACAGTAGAACATGTGAAGCTTGTCATTTCCCTCAACCATTTATAACATTTTTATGATGTGATTGCAAGAATCTCCTCTTAAAATTTGTGGAATCTTGATTGCATACTAGATCCTAATTTCTGCCCCTAACCCCATGCCCATGGTGACATGTTCATGTCTTTGTTTTTGTGCCTACATAATCTATGTTTGTATGTGAGCATAGATTATATAGAGTTGGACACACCTCGGGGCTGCCGTTGTCCTTCCCAACTCCGCCGCTGGTTCAGTTCATGGAGACATCTCTTCCCTATCGGTCCACCTCATGCTGCGTCAGATGTCCTTTCTCATCCAAGTTTTGCACTGACTTCAGAACCCGTGCCACCAAATCCATAGTTGAACGGGAGGAAGGAACGAATGGAATGGCCATTGGCCAGCGAAGCAACGAGTGTCTTTATCTCCACGTCACCGAAAGGGTCCTCTTACAGTACTGCGCTGATGGTAGTCTTCGATCCAAATGACTCCTCAGAATTACGTGATGAAACTATATCCATCGATTAGTAAGAAAAATCAAAATATATTTAATTAAAAATAATAAGAAATCAAATACCGTAATTTAATTGGGAAGAAAAAGGTTACACAGAGTTCAATAATTGGAAGCGTTATTCTTGTTCGTGATCTCAAGTTCAGTAAACTGCACTTGATATGACGGGATCACAATCACCCCTAAAGAAAGTGATAACCCACCGTATCAATGTTGATCTCATTCAATCTAGTCGCTTTAGCAGCAGGACACACACACATGGGAATCGTGCAGTTTGCGGAAAGATTTAGAGTACCGCTTGCACCATTTTCCCCTATATTCTATGTATTTGTCCTCCCAGGAATCGAATCACTAAAAACAAGGTGTTCTCGCAGCCAATGGATTCACGAGCGCTGCCACCGGTTTCCACCCACGGTTTCCTTCTCCTCCGCCTCCTGTTCACGCTCCCCCGGCTGCCCATTAATATCCTCCCCACCTCCATTGCAAACCCCAACAAGCTCTCTCCGCCATCGGAGACCGACTAAGATACAGGTCGAGTGGAAGCTAAACACAGTACTACTGAGCAAGCATGCCGTCTCCGAGGTTCTTCTCCGTCCACGAGGCCCGGCGCCACCACTTCTTGGGCTCCTGCTACCTCTGCAAGAAGCCCATCGCCGAGAACAAAGACGTCTTCATGTACAGGTTTGTCGTGGGTTAATCGCTTCTTTTGCTCTTCGTTCGAAACTGCTTAGAGCTCGGCGACCGATGGGAATGGATCGATTTGATGTGTGTTGCAGAGGGGACACTCCCTTTTGCAGCAAGGAGTGCCGGTGGGAGCAGATGGACATGGATGAAGCTCTGGAGAACGAGTCCAAGAAGCAGTCGTTCGCCATGAAGGGCAAGCCGAGCTTGACCATCCCTTCCAACTGCGACAAGAAAAGCTTCAAGGCCGACGCTGCTGCCGTTGTTGCTGGCTAATACAACCTTAATTACCCGACGATGGCAACAACTTCCTCCTCCTCGGATTCAAGTTGCAGTACGTAGTTCTGCGAGAAGCTTGCTGAACGACAGAATCCAAACAAAGAAACCCGGGGAAAGAGAGAGAGAGAGAGATAGAGAGGGAGAGAGAGGCTAAGAGCAGGAGAATACGAAAGATGAGAGGATTTCTTGCTCGATGTACAGAAGAAGAGATGTAGATTTTGGTATCCATATGTGCAAGATTTTGCCCTTCCCCAGTTTTCTTCTGTCAAATCTTGCTTGAAAGGATAATAAGAAGGACAAATCATCGGCTTGTTTGACTTCTTCGAGTATGGATATTGTCGATAACCTTCCAAGAACTCGCCATCGGAAGCCTTTTAAGTATTCCAGCTTTCCATCACACCGCGGAAACTTAAATCTCTACTTTAGAGATCTCCATGCAGACAATTCTCACTCATTTCACAATGAATAATAGCAAATGATCATTAAGTTCTATAGTTCTAATTTATACTGTCATCGGATTTCAAGCTCTATTGTTCTATCGTGGTAGGCTCAGTAACAGCTGAGTAACGCCGTTATACACGTCCCCGATATATGTAGCGTTTGTAACATGTATGACGGCCGTCATTTCGGATAGGCCTCGCAGGGCCACGTGTTGCTCAGCGGTGCCAGGCTCTACTTACCTCAGCGATCGTACGGATCATATCGCAATGTTCAAATCGAAAACAGGTAACGGCAGATGTCGGTTGAATCAATGCCTACGGACGGCTGAGATGTTAGAATTGGAGCAGTTCGCGTAGAGCTGTGGTTGGAGAGGATCCTAAACGGGAGCTACTTTTGTGTAGTTCTCTCTTGGATCGAGTCACTCCCGTCTCTGTTTTCTCGAGTCGTCGTTCTTGAGCCGTCGCGGTCAGCTTCCTGGATCGCCATGGCGATTAGGGTTTTCTCTCTCCTAATCGCGCTTCTCCTGTTCGCGTCTCCGATCGTCCAAGGTATACACTTCGTTTCCCCCCATCGAGCTGCTCGCTCTCTTCTATTTGAGATGTGTTTGAACTAGTTGATGGGCGGTGTTCGTGCCATTCAGCTGACGAAGGGACGCTATCTGTGTCCATTTCGTTTGTTTTCGTGTGTGTGGTTTTCTTTTTCTCCCTGTTTCTTCTCTTTTTTTGAATTTTTAGTTGGTTTGCACTCATGAATTTTCTAGATCTGCAGGATTTATCCCAGTTGGTGAGAATTATCGTTTTGTTTGAAGGATCGGTAGAACAGGTTGTTTGCCATCGAATGGCAGCCGTGCTAGGTTTAAAAGCTTGCGTCATTGGATGAATTATCTAACTTGTTGTTTGAAAATTTGCTATGCACAACTGAACGTTGTGTTGGTATCTTCTCGTTGAGTTTCGGGGGCTTTTTTTTTTTTTTAGTAAAGGAAAAATTGGTGGGCAAAACGGAACAGATATAGGAAAAAGAGAACGAGAAATATTCAACGAATTAGAATACGGAAAAAGAATTGACAGGAAAAGAAAAAGGGTAGACGGTCAAATTTGGCGACAACGACAAGAATTGACACTATGAAAAGCTACACCACTGTTTAACCTCGATTTGAGCTGATCTATCTATAACATATCTTTCTTTAGAAACATTTCTGAATATTCGGCTACCTGGCTCTCACCAAGGTTTCTCGGTCAGCATAAAATTCCTTTTGCAGAGATCTTTAGGGCTTGCGATGACCAAAGGGATGCTGTGAACTGATGATTAAGCATTTTGTCCATGAAATTGAAAAAAATAAAAATGTGAAATCTATTCTAGGCTTGGGATATCTTGAAATCTTTTAGAATGCAGCAACATCCAAACTTAATCAGTAGGTGCACTTCCCTCTTATTCTATATTAATTGTTTATCAGTTTATGTAGGATTACAACAGAGCAGTTGCTTATATCTTTTGGTTCCAAACTAAATCAGTGGGTGAAATTTAGATAATTGTCATAGTTCCTCTTAAGACATATTCTTCCCTCTTTGTCACTAATTTTTTATCAGCTAAGGTACATGATAATATGGCAGTTAACTCCGTGACTCAAAAGCTTCTACTTGTAAGAAAGTTATTATAAAAATTTCTCTTGAAGCCTTTGTTGACTATCTATTGTTGGATGTGTCTACGATATTCCCTTGTCAACTATCTATTGACTCTGACTTCTGGCAGTTGCGAGATGTCAGTCGGATGAGGATGTTGCTGCGACAGAAGTTATTGAAGGAAGCAATCTTGGCATTGTTGGTGATGATACCCAAGTTTTTGGTGATGGAACTCTGGGTCCAGCTCCTGGCATAGATACTGTCTGTGTGTTTCCAAAGAATGCTGCTAGATGTATGTACTACTTCTGGGAATGAACGAATCATTTCAGATGGGAACTTATAGTTTTTGTTTGTAGGATGCAAACATAACTCCTTGACTATCTTTCGTCCATGCAGTAGTACCAGCAGGAGAAGAAACTGAGCTACTGGTTGGCTTACATAATGAGGGTTCTTTCCTATGGCCTTTTAAAATTTGAATCTAATTCAGCACTTCTTTTTTGCATTTCTATCCCATGTCTGATCTTTTTGTTTATCTTACTATTGTTGTGTACTCCTTATGTACTACAAACTCAACACATTCAGATCCAGCTATATTAGTATTTAGGACTATCAAAAAGTTGTTGCTATCACCCCCACATTTGAGGTGATAAATAGATGTTCTCTGAGTTGTTGGGAGTCTATCTTGACAGATTTATGTTTGTACCTCATAAAATTTTGGTTTCCTGGTAGTCTCTGTTCCAAGTACAAGTTGTCATGGCCAACATATGCAGTAACTGAATGTTCAAGTTGTTGCACTGTTGAACATTCTTAAGTTGCTTCTTGAAATAATGATGACTAAAATCTTGAGACTACACTAGATGAGGCAGCAGAATCAGGAACTAAGTTGTCCTTCCCTTTCTTCATGTTTTTCGGGCTAAACTGGGAAAGAGCCGTAGGATCTGTATATTATTGGTTTTTTATTATTAGCTGACCTCATATTCAGTTTCTTCTTCTTCTTTGAGTTGTTTAGATTAGCTATATTTAGCTATACGAGGTTACGTGTGGAAATAGGTTTGTGGAAGCTGACGCCTTTGCTGTGTAGTCATGTGATTAGTTTGTTATTTTTATTCATGGTAATAATCTTATTTTTTCACTGTCCAAGTGTACACATAAAACAATGAATCTGCTCTGCAAACTATAGGCATATTCTACCTTTAGGCATTAACCTTATCATTTCTCGTTGCTCCACAGTCTGCTGTCTACCTGCTCATTTTGGTAAGTTGTTGTCTTGAATTTGTTGTGTGGTAATTCAGTTGATTTTTATTAAAATCATCACTATGTGGAGGTAGGGTTGCATACTGGGGTTCCCCAGACCTTACATTAGTGGGAGCCTCTTGCACTAAGCTTCCCTTCTTAACGAATTGTCTGCTGTTATATTTGCTTCTAACTGAATGCCGTCATCTGGAAAATTGCAGGTGAATCAACTTTAGAAGTGGTTGCTATACGTGCTAGCCTTCATCTTCCATTTGATCATCATATGTTTGTTCAGAATCTTACACTGCAGGTGTGTTTCCATTTAGATGCCTTTTATGATTTAGTTGCTGTACAATGGGCATCGCATACATTCCCTTCTTGTGTTACCAGTGCTTGGCTGCAGCTTATGATGTGCACGGTGTTTGAGAACTGTGCTTTACTTTCATGCATTGATATCTATTTTCTTATCTCAAGTTACCTGGAACTTATTTTTTTGGCTTCTTCATTAATAGCTTGAAGAAGTGGAACAAGCTGTGTTATTGTACAGTTTTATTTGATTCATAGTAGGTGTTCTGTACCTCTGAATGTTGACTGTAAGGGGGAATATAAATCAACTGGATGGTGGACAAAAAGTATCTGATCATTGTGGAACAAGTTATCACTGCCATTGGATCACTATATGGCTAATGTTCTGTAGGTACTTAATAATTAGCTTCAATAGGCTGGCAATTTTTGTTGTGATCCATGCATAGCTACAGAAAAACAGTACTAGAGTCTAGGTGAACTTGTGTATGAAACGGTCATGTCATTCTGCTATTTCTACTCATATTGTCTGGATGAAATTTTTTTTTTTACCTAGGTGATTAGTTGATGGTTTCATATGTCACTCAACTTTATTTGCATTTCTATGAAAAAGTATAACTACGGAATGAAACATCCACACAGGGGTAATGTCTTCTAATGAACATAATTAGCAATAATCCTTATAAAATTTGGTTTGAGTAATTTTGGTCGATTTACTGGCCTACAACGATTAAATTAATCTTTTTTATGCAAAATGTCATCATTAATTCAAGTGAAACAGTCCTCAGAACTATAGTGTGTAGTGTGTACTGATTTTCTTATTGGTTTACGAGAACTCTCATGCTGTTGACTGATATTGATAATTATAGTTTCTGAAGAATTATATGCAGATTATAAAGACACTTGTTTTACATGTTCTGATTATGAAAAATAACAGAGAAGAAAAAGATAACTAAATTTTCTGGTAGTTTAGTTTATATTATTAATTCTTTAGTTTTTAAAATCATAAGTGATCCACTTTAATTGGAATGTATAGTTGGTGGCCTTGGGGGTCGAGATTTTTCCATCTTGCTTTGGGACAACAAAATGTAACCTTTAAAACCATAATTTTTTTCTTAAAGTAGAAGTATTTGCTGGTATAATTCCAGGAAACACATTTAGTTTTTAATATAGCACATTTCCCAAATTTTCTTTAATTGGGGTTGGTGAAGTTTGGTAAGAAACTCTCTACTGGTCTCATAGTCAGCTGCTATATTAACAGAGTAATGGATATCAGCTCACCTTGTTGATGTCTAACGGTTTGTCAGGGGCATGCTTCTTGTGCTGCTCTTTCACAGCATTCTTTTCTCCTGTGATTAAATGATTGATCTTTTTTTACTTGGAACTGTTATGTAGTCTTCTGTTGCCATCTCCTTCCCTAAATGCATGTAAATTTTGCATGCGTCAAATCTGTTGTGTTCGGTCTTTGATTTGATATTCCAACAGTGATATTAAGTCTTCCTATTAATTTCTATATGCAGGAATTCTATAATGCATCAGTGCCTGTTTCTGCTCAAGCTACTTTCCCGTATGTATTTGCTGTCAGCAAATACTTGCAGGTGAGTGCCACAAATATGCGACTGAGAGTCTTTGTAGTTCCATGCTGATACATGTATTTTATGAGCCATTATTTTTTCTCCTATCGCTATATGTATATTTCTCTTATCTGAATCTTTACACTTAATGAGAGATTTATACATAATCATGCACTTGGATGTTTCTTATTATCGTGGAAACCTATAAACTTCATTTTCTGTGCAGCCTGGCTCTTTTGATCTAGTGGGAACAATAGTCTATGAGATTGATCAGCAACCATATCAGAGCATTTTCTATAATGGTACTGTTGAAGTTGTTGAAGCTGGAGGTTTTCTAAGCATTGAGTCGGTCTTTCTTGTGACCCTTGGGGTTGCTCTCATTGGCTTTTTGGGATTGTGGGCATATGGTCAAATTCAACAGTTTTCAAAGGTACTTCAACCATTTGATCATTTTTTTGCTAACCTTAATTTCTTAATCGAGTTTATTGATTAGGCAATTCATGCTGCTAAATTGCATCTTTCGAGCATCTTTTCATACAAAAACACATGAGAATTGAAGCAGTTGCAAGTATACCTCTGCAAAGTTTCAAATTTCCTCCTGATCCACAACATCTGAACCTTTATACATTTCCACTTGGAAAATCTGCTTCCTGCATAAATATCCACTTGTGTATATATAAAAATTGTCTTAAACAGTTGCATTTACTCGTAAACTAGGGGATAGTATTGTGATTTAAACAGTGGATCAGGTCAGAATATGTCAAAACAACTAACGGAAGTTAGAAACAGGGGGTAAAATTAAGATGAGATGATGTTGGGATCTAAGTAGATAAGGTAGGAATCAATCAGATCAATCAATGGATATCATATGTAAATGATCCTTCTTTAGATATGGTTGAATTGACCGATTGCTTCCAATGCCTTTGCGAATTCAAAGGTTTGTCAATCATGCATGACTGGTACAAGATTTATAGGCATGTGCACAAATCCTGGATGCAAGAGTTACAAGGAGTAACTCATTCTGCTTCTAATCAAGTACACAATAATATACACGATGCCACTTCTCCTTGCATGACCCGGAAGTTGCTTTCAATTCAGTACCTGCATGCGCTTTGCAAGTGACAACTATTTCCTAATTCATGACAAGAACCCCAATGGATAAAAGTAAAATGAGATCAAATCTGGTGTTTAGGTACATCAAAGAAAGAAAATGTAAATACCTTTTCTTTCTAGAAGTTGGCCCTCTCCTGAGCACCAGGCCGCCTGTTGTTCCCTATTTATTATTTTTTAAAATAAATGGATTACTTGTTTGGTTTATACTAGACGTCTTTACGAAATTTCCTGTTGACCTTTTAAACTTAAAATCTAGTTCGCAGATGCAAGTTTACGTTTTGCCATACAAAGCTATTTTATCATGTTCATGCTGTTATATGCTAACCATGTTTGTTTGTGTGCTTTTTTAACCCAGAAAACAAAGAGATCTCCTAAGGTGGAAGTAGGTACTGGAACCACAGATGCTAACATGGATGAGTGGTTGGAGGTAAATATTAATTTGCTGCATCCGAAGGATGGTTGTTAATGTTCTCATCTTTTACTTCATAATTTTTTGACATCTAATAAGTTGATTCTGGCTCACTACTCTTGTCAATCAATTGCTTATAACTTGGATTAGTTGACTCTTAAGATTCTAGATTATTACACTGTTTTTTGTTGTGCTCAGGGTACTGCGTATGCTCAGTCATTGTCAAGCAAGTCTAAGAAAAAGAAGTAAATGATAGTCTACTTCTCACTGACTTTTTCTGAAGAGTGAAATGGGTAGTTTGTAGTCATCTGATTCAAAAAATCTATGCAGTTCTTACACGAGATAGCTTACTAACTCCTCATTTTATTATAAAATGTAGTTGGAAATCTCAATTTTGAATAGATTTATATCTATAAAATTTTAATCTGTGCCTCTCCGCTTGATTCAAGGTATAGATTTCAACCTTATTCTTGTTCTAGAATTTGAATTCGGGGAATGGTTTTGCCTGATCCATGGTTTGTTCTTGCTAAACATATTGTGTTTCTTCTTGATACGATTATTCTCACAATATTGATGTAAATTGTAATTATTCTTGATCATAGTCCAGGATTGGTTGAGATTAAAACATCTGTAAGATTTGAGTCGATTTGTATCGAAAAGCCGCCGGTTAAATCTCGAAACTGGTTTTTTTTTTTTAAATTCTAATTGTGTTATAGCTGTGTTAAAAACCAACAGATTATCATTTTTTCCATAATTAATCTTATTGGTGTTATACAATTTGAACTAAATCAAATAAATTTATTCACTGTGGTTAAAAGTATCATCGACCCTATCATATTTTTTTTTATTTTATAAAATATAATAATACTATTTTTATCACATTATTTTATTAAAATTTTTATTTATATTAAAAATTGCTTTTATAGTAATAGTTATATTGTATTTAAGTCAACCAGTGACCGGAACTTATCCTTTCCTTAAAAACACCGGCCTCCCATCAACAACTACGTACCAACATAACAGCTGGGAAACTGAACAAACGTACTGTTCTTACCTTCATAAATAATAATAATAATAATAATAATTATTATTATTATTATTATACGGGTATTTTATCTTCGTCCCCACTAGCTCGTCGACCACGAGTCTCGCCTCTTCACGGGGTTGGCGGTGGCGTCACTGTACATTCGCGAGCGACGGGGAAGGCTGCACGACTAGGGATTAGGGTTTTGTATGTAAAATGCCGTTATTATCACTATAACAATAATGCTGCGCTACATCTTCCTCATAATCTTATCAAATTAAAATTAAACCAGGAAGAAAAGGTGCAGAAAAGATTACGAACGAACCGCCGTGTCCGCACCACCGTATTCGAATCTGTTTTCTACACGCTCTTTTCTCGTCCCGCCGCCGCCGGCACCTGATCCTCTTCCTCTTCCTCTGTCTCCTCCTCCGTCTCCGGTGGCGCGTTCAGATCCAGCATGGCCCGGGAGCTCGGCGCCCGTTCCGTGGCGCACCGGCCGTCCAGCTCCTGGTGATTTTCCACCGGGACGACTTCCAACGGAAAGAAGGCGAGCTTGGGATCCGCGGGGATTAGGGCCAACCCGGGTGGTTGGCGCTGAAGCCGGCGGTGGCGGTTCCGTGTTGGACTACATCCAATGGCGGCAGCCGGCCAAACCTTCGCCGCGATGACAAGTTTTTGCTACAAGATCGGTCCCGCAAAGATTTCAAGTAAATGGGAAAAAAAGGACCCAAAAAGAAACCAAAAAGAAAGAAAAGATCACCTCCTCCACTTGTCTGAGAACAGAATTCCTTGCTCTCAATTGATTGCTATGCTGCTCGATATTCTGATCCAATGCAAATAAGAAGACTGAAAACAAGAAGATAACCGAAACCGGTGGGCCAAAGAGGAAGGAATTACTCTCTTGAGATGAGCTCCGTCGTCGAGCGACGCGAATTCTCGACGGTGATTCAGCACCGACTGTTTCGGATCCACATACGCACATCAAGGAAACGTCACGCATCGCAAAGCAAGATTCGATGGACTCGAGATTGTTTTTTTTTTTGCTTTTCTTACCTCGGGTCGCTTGTTGACCCGATTGACCGCAGGCAGTGCCGCCGACGATCTCGGCATGGCGTCGTCCTTGCCGCCGCTCCCCACCCTCAAGGGGTTGCTTAACTTCCTCTGGCCGCCGTCTGAGGCCCGGCCCTGCGGAGGGACAATGATCGGAGGTAGAGGTGGCGGAGGAGGAGGGACGGAAGAGGGTGGACCGTCAGGGATGGAGCGGCTCCGCCACTCGCCCCAGCGAAGGTATTCGGGGAAGACGTAGGTGGTGCGGCGGCAGCGGCGGTGTTGCAACTGGAGGAGCATCTGCGAGAGCCTGCTCAATTTGCGAGCCGCAAGCTGTTCCTTCTCCGTCAGGCACAACCGCGGCTTCGACGTCCCTTCGTCCATGTCTTCTTCTTCCCAGATTGAGGCGGCGATCGGATGGGCGAGTCGCGCAGACAAGGAGAGAGAGGATGAGAAACGGCTGCTGCGGAAAGAGTGGAAGAAAGGAAACAAGGGCGGGTTATAAAGGAATATTTTATTATATTTTAAAATTACATTAACCTACATAATCAGTATTATCGATCAGATTTTCTATTTAGTTTATTATATCACGTACGTAATGTAGGGTTTTCAGTGATCGTGGAAATATCCTTGCGTGCATACAAGATAAAGCTTTGCTTGTAAGATTGACTCCTTGCTCATACTAGAAGATGATGCTCGACTCTATGAAAATGCTTTCCGAACGTTGTTCTGATAACATAAGATGAAAGACGGAAGAAGCGAAAAGAAGGAAACAAGGGCGGGTTATAATGGGATATTGATCAATGAAATCACGTCACGTGTCAGGTATCATGCATCCATCTACCCACATCCGAATTCGTCTCGATAACGAAAAGATGGGTAAAGAGAACATTCCCTACAGGCATAGCAAATGGCGATTTCGGGTCGAATGCACATCCCGAATCCTTGGACTCCGGGTTAGCGAGGCCCGACGTGGGATGGGCTAAGTCCAGGTGTGTCGGGAAAGGGGCGGTCGGAATCTAGGGAGCAATGTCGGCGTATGCATGATGAAGCCCAATTATTAGTGACAATTTCTTCTAATTATATCAATCTATATAATAAAATATACCTTCTTTCAAAAGTGAAACTAATTACGCATTGGCACTGACGAATCATGCCATTTTGTCTATTACAAATAACTATTATCCAGTCCAAAAAGTTATGAGCAATGATCTTAGAAAAAACAATACATCAAGATGCAAGTTTCACCTTTTTGTTTGGCTAAACTCGAGAGAAAGATGATGACCAATTCTTCGTTCGAGGCATGTCATGGATGTACTTTCTATCACACTAAATGACTGGTTTTTCAAAATTAAAATATTACAAATCATTACAACAAAAGTGGGTATAGAAGGATAATGTTCATTAGATATACACAACTTCGGCCTCGATCTTACGGTAGTAATTTTTGAGAGAAATAAATGTTAGATTGTATCGTTATCTAATTAAATAATATATAATTTAGATTTAATTAATTTTTAATTATGATTATCGATCAAATCAAATTATAGTAAAATTCATTAAAGATAATTTGATTGAAAATGACTTTCCTAATTATTTATTCACTCTCATCTATAAAGAGATAATATATCTTAAGAACTATAGACACAAGGGGATTCATGACATGATTAAAAGATAAAAAATCTTTTCTTATTTCCTTTCGTCTCTCGTATATTTTCTTTGTCCCTAAATCTATCATGATCTTGTGAATAATACGAGGAAAAAAGAAGATAAATCTTATTATCTTTGCAAAGTAATATTTCTATATATTTCATATTTGATAATGGTATGTTTATAGATTTGACAAAAGCTTTCTGAGCAACTAAGGTATGCAACGTAAATTTAGAAATTTATGTAATTTAATTTTAGATTTTAATACTAATTTTTTTTATAAAATAATAACATATTATGGTTATTACGTTTATAATTTGTATCAGAGTTATGGTTTTGAGATCAAATACTTTAGATCTATTTATCAACACTCTATTCTCATAAAAATATATTAATTAATTTTTATTTATGATGTATTAACGATTCATCAGTATTATATTTTTTATTTACTCTATCATATCACATAATTGTACGTAATGTAGGGTTTCTAGTGATTGTGGAAATATCCTTGCATACATGCTGGGTAAGGCTTTGCCGGTAAGAATGACTCCTTGCTCATACTTGAAGATGATGATTGACTTTACGAAAATGCTTTCCTAACATTGCTCTGATAACATAAGATGAATGACGGAAGAAGCAGAAGGAAGGAAACAAGGGCGGGTTATAATAGGACATTGATCAATGAAATCACGTCATGTGTCAGGTATCATGCATCCATCTACCCGCATCCGAATTCGTCTCGAAAACAAAAAGATGGGTAAGGAGAATATTCCCTACAAGCACAGTAAATGGCGATACCGAGTCGAATGCGCATTCTGAATCCTCCGACTCCGGGTTAGCGGGGCCTGGCGTGGGGCGGGCTAAGTCCAGGTGTGCCGGGAAAGGGGAGGCCGGAATCTAGGGAGCAACGTCGGCGTATGAGTGACTGCCACGTAGCTCCCTTCTAATGCACAATGAAACCCAATTATTAATGATAATTTCTTCTAATTACGGCAACCTAAATAATAAAATATACTTTCTTTCAAAAGTAAAACTAATTATGCACTGGTGCCGACGAATCATACCATTTTGTCTATTACAAATAACTATTATCCAGTCCAAAGAGTTATGAGCAATGATCTATGAAAAAACAATACATAAGTTGCAAGTTTCACCTTTTTATTTGGCTAAACTTGAGAGAAAGATGATGACCAATTCTTCGTTCGAGGCATGGATGTACTTTCTATCACACTAAATGACTGGTTTTTCAAAATTAAAATATTACAAATCATTACAACAAAAGTGGGTAGGGAAGGATAATGTTCATTAGATATACACAACTTCGACCTCAATCTTGCAGTAGTAATTTTTGAGAGACATAAATGTTAGATCATATCGTTATCTAATTAAATAATATATAATATAGATTTAGTTAATTTTTAATTATGATTATCGATCAAATAAAATTATAGTAAGATTCATTAAAGATAATTTGATTGAAAATGACTTTCCTAATTATTTATTCACTCTCATCTATAAAGACACAATATATCTTAAGAACTATAGACACAAGGGGATTCGTGACATGATTAAAGGATAAAAAATCTTTTTTTATTTCTTTTCGTCTCTCATATATTTTCTTTGTCCCTAAATCTATCGTGATCTCGTGAATAATAGGAGGAAAAAAGAAGATAAGTCTCATTGTCTTTGCAAAGCAATATTACAATATAATTCAGATTTGATGATGGTATGTTTATAGATTTGATAAAAGCTTTCTAAGCAACATCGAAAGGTATGCATCGTAAATTTAAAAAATTATTGTTATTTAATTTTAGATTTTAACACTAATTTTTTTATAAAATAATAACATATTATGGTTATTATGTTTACAGTTAGTATCAGAGTCATGGTTTTGAGATCAAATACTTTAGATCTTTTTATTAGCACTCTTTACTCGTAAAAATATATTAATAAATTTTTATTTACGATACATGAACGATTCATTAGTATTATCGATTTGATTTTCTATTTAGTCTATCATATCACATACTTGCACGTAATGTAGGGTTTTTAGTGATTGTGGAAATATCCTTGCATGCATGCTGGGTAAGGCTTTGCTTGTAAGACTGACTCCTTGCTCATACCAAAAGATGATGTTCGACTCTGTAAAAATGCTTTTCTAACGTTGCTCTAATAACATATGATGAGAGATGACATAATGTTACATTAACAATGAAGTGTGTGCAAACTATATGGTTGGAAATTTTTCTTTAATCTTTAAAATAAAACATGTCAAAGAGTAAACTAGCAGCTTCATCTTATTAGAATTATTGTATTTATTATTTGTATTTTAAATTATTTATTAGTAACAATCCTTCTTTTAAGGTTATTTTTTATCTCACACGTTTTGGGGTTTGAAGGTATTACTTTACTCTTGTTGCTAGTGATTATGAAGGTATCACTTCACTTTACTCAATTTAAATGACACAGTCTCTAAAAAGTTTAGGATAGTTTTGATTCCGATAGGTAAACAATATTCTAAAATTTAAGGTATAAAAAAAGTCTATATGAGCAGTATATAAATTATTTGATGCAGGCAGATAATGTCATCACTTTTAGGAAATTCAAGTGTTGTGGCTTTCATCATAGTGTCAAGATTTTTTTCACTGTTTAATTTCATAGTTCCCGTAATGTGTCATAAGACATCAAATAAAGAGATAAAAAACACTAAGGATCATGGATGGAAAAATTTGGAGAAGCACTAAAGAAAAGACGATGTAGAGAATAATAAGGTCATGAGGAGGAATCACTTGAGAGACCAATGGATGAGCTGATTTTGTTCCGCTCTTTGTTTCTGTGTCCCGTTTTATAAGAAAAACTTCTCTAGTTGTTGCTCGTAAAGTTAGTACTCTAAATAGTCAGAGTAGAGGCTATCTTAGGAGAAGAGAATAGAGGAAGGAAGCACTATATCCAACTTAAAGGACAGATTGCCTCTATGTCTCATAAAAAGACTTCTCACATCTCTAGTCTTTTCTTTTTAAATTGTGGGATAGGCCTTCATTAGCATAAGCATAGGCCCTCATTAGACTGGGATATAATCATCCATATTGACATTGAAATCAACTTGGATTGCTTTGGTGTCACTGGAATAAGTTTGCATTAGCTAGAATTGGTCCAATTGATCTGCATCTCTTTGGCTCTTTCTAAAAATAACTTGTATGATGAAGGGACTATCATGAACTTGAGATTAGTGTTAACTGATCTCTTGACTAATGATTTCTTCTTATAGATAGTAAAAGTTAAGAAATATACCTTTTCATCTGAGTAGGCATCGACGAGTAGTTTTTGGTAGCTCTGAAATGAATTTTTAGTTCTTGTAGTTATGGTATTTCAATTAAAGTTAAATCAGGTTTGATTTGGATTCTAGGATTTTTGTTTCCCTCTCGTTTTCACTAAGGTCTCCTTCTTGACCAAAGGTGAATCTTGGGTATGCAATCGTAAGTCTTAGATAGGTTCTATTATTAGGGTTTGTTCCTGGTTGGATTCTAGGATTCTTATTTTGATCTTTCATTCGGATCAATCTTTCTTGCCTAGGTTTTGTTATCGAGGGTAAGTCTTGGGTATTGCTCGGATTCCAGGATTCTTGTTTTGATCCATCTTTCTTACCGTACTATCTTTGTTATTTAGATTTTGCAACTAACTCATTCTGGCTTTGGAGAAGTCCTTGGATTTTGGTTAGATTCCTGGGTTCTTGTTTGGATCTCTCTGTCTCTCATTCTAAGGATTTGTCACTGATGGTCATCCTGATCCTAAGG